TAATGAAATTTTATGGATTTTTTTACATAATTTTAGGGAATTTTTAATGAAATTTTATGGATTTTATAATGGAATTTTAGGGATTTTTTTCACAGAATTTTACAGAATTTTTTACAGAATTGTATGGAATTTTCTGGAATTTTTAACGGAATTTAACGGAATTTTTAATGGAATTTTATGGAATTTTTTACAGAATTTTATTGAATTTTAGGGAATTTTTAACGAAATTTTATGGATTTTTTTAATGGAATTTTAGGGATTTTTTTCACAGAATTTTACGGAATTTTTAACGGAATTTTATGGAATTTTTTTACAGAATTTTATGGAATTTTACAGAATTTTTACAGAATTTTTTACTGAATTTTTCACGGAATTTTAAGGAATTCTGTGGAATTTTTTTACGGAATTCCACGGAATTTTTTACGGGCTTTTACGGAACTATATGGAATTTTTAATGGAAATTTTTACGGAATTTTACAGAACTCTACGGGATTTTTAACGGAATTTTTTACGGAATCTTACTGAACCTTTAACGGAATTTTTTACGGAATTTTACAAAATTTTACAGATTTTTTTACAGAATTTTAAATGGGATTTTCCGGAATTTCCCGCGGAATTCCGCGCAATTCGGCGTTGCCGCGCTCGTTAACGATTAACGCCATTCCCGGTTTTTTTTCTGGTCATTTCCGTTTTTTGACCGCCGGCTTTTGTGCCGATTTCCGCTCCTGACGCCCAAAATTGCCCGGATTTCAACTCTTTGCAGGTGAGGAAATGGAGGAGGAGGAGGAGGAGGAGGAGGAGGAAGAGGAGGAGCAAAAAGAGGAAGAAGAGGAAAAAGAGGAAAAGGAAAATGAGGAAGAAGAGGAAGAAGAGCACAGGGACCCAGCAGCAGCGGGTGAGCCCTGCCCTTCCCAGCCCCAAATCCCCGAGGAAGAAGAGGAAGAAGAGGAAGAAGAGCCCAAGGAGCCAGCAGCAGCGGGTGAGCCCTGCCCTTCCCAGCCCCAAATCCCCCTTTTTTTGCCCCATTTTCCCGCCGAGCTCGGGCCGTTTCCCCCCAAAAATTGGGGTGCAATAAATGGTGGCAAAATTCCCGCGGAAAATCCCAAAATCGCCGGGATTCCTGCCTTTGGAAATTCCCGCCTTTGGCTCTTTCCAGGCAAAATCTCGGAAGAACCTGGTAGGGAATTGGGAAATTTCCTTTTTCTCCCTTTAAAAAACCCTTTTTGAGTAATTTGAATTTTTTTCGGTGATAATTTGAATTTTTCTTTGTGATAATTTGAATTTTTTTCGATGATAATTTGAATTTTTTTCCGCGATAATTTGAATTTTTTTCTGTGATAATCTGAATTTTTTCTTTGTGATAATTTCAATTTTTTGGGGTGATAATTTCAATTTTTTTGAGTGTTAATTTGACTTTTTTTCAGCGATAATTTCAATTTTTTGGGGTGATAATTTCAATTTTTTCCGATGATAATTTCAATTTTTTTAGGGTGATAATTTCAATTTTTTCAGCGATAATTTCAATTTTTTGGGTGATAATTTCAATTTTTTGGGGTGATAATTTCAATTTTTTTGGGTGACAATTTGAATTTTTTGGGGTGATAATTTGAATTTTTTTTCAGTGATAATTTGACTTTTTTTCAGCGATAATTTCAATTTTTTGGGGCGATAATTTCAATTTTTTTTATGATAATTTCAATTTTTTGGGGTGATAATTTCAATTTTTTGGGGTGATAATTTCAATTTTTTGGGGTGATAATTTCAATTTTTTTTATGATAATTTCAATTTTTTGGGGCGATAATTTCAATTTTTTGGGGTGATAATTTGAATTTTTTCGGGTGATAATTTCAATTTTCTGGGGTGATAATTTCAATTTTTTGAGTGATAATTTGACTTTTTTTCGGTGATAATTTCAATTTTTTGGGGTGATAATTTGAATTTTTTGGGGTGATAATTTCAATTTTTTGGGGTGATAATTTGAATTTTTTGGGGTGATAATTTGACTTTTTTTCTGTGATAATTTCAATTTTTTAGGGTGATAATTTGAATTTTTTGGGTGATAATTCCAATTTTTTGGGCGATAATTCCAATTTTTGGGTGACAATGTGACTTTTCCCTCTTTTCCCCATCCCAGATTCCCGCGACGCCCGGATCGGTGCGTGTGCCCCTCCCCCCCCCGGAATTCCCCGAATTCGGGAATTCGGGTCCCTCTCCCACCCAAACTGAGCCGTTTTTGAGCGGTTTTGGCTTTTTCCCCTCGCAGCGGAGCTCTCGGCGGCGCTCGGTGAGGACAGACGGACCCCGGCAGATCATTAATTGATAATATTATTAATTAATAACGGAATTACCGCGCTGCAGCGGCTGTGGTTTATAAACATAAAATCTGCCGGTTTCCCGTTTCATTAGATATTTCATTAAATTGATTAATTAAAATTTTGGTTTATTGAAATGTTATCGTTTATTAATATCACTTTTAAATATTGCTTATTAATACAGCTCATTAATATAGTTGATTTTTATAGCTTATTAAAATAGTTTATTCATATTTATTAACATAGTTAATTAACATAGTTTATTAAAATAGTTTATTCA